GGTGAAGGTAGGGGGATCACTTGAAGTCAGGAATTCGAGACCTGCCTGGACAGCATGGCGAAGCAGCTTAGATGGCCAGCATCTGCTTTTTTTTTTTTTTTTTTTTTTTTTTAAGAAAAGCAGAATACAAAATTTAGCTGGGCGTGGTGGCGGGTGCCTGTGATCCCAGCTTCTTGGAAGGCTGAGGCAAGAGAATCGCTTCAGCCCAGGAGGCGGAGGTTGCAGTGAGCCGAGATTGCACCACTGCACTCCAGCCTGGGCGACAGAGCCAGACTCTGTCGAAAGAGAGAGAGCGAAAAAGAAAGGGAAAGGAAAGGGAAAGAAAAAAAAAGGAAAGGAAAAGAAAAGAAAGAAAAAAGGAAATGGGAAAGGGGGAAGGGGGAAGGGGGAAGGGGGAAGGGGGAAGGGGGAAGGGGGAAGGGGAAGGGGGAAGGGGGAGGGGGGAAGGGGGAAGGGGAAGGGGGAAGGGGGAAGGGGAAGGGGAAGGGGGAAGGGGGACGGGGGAAGGGGGAAGGGGGAAGGGGAAAGGGGAAGGGGGAAGGGTGAATGGGAGGAAGGGGGAAGGGGGGAAGGGAGGAAGGGAGGAAGGGAGAAAGGGAGAAAGAAAAAGAGTAAAGAGAGAGGAGGATGGGAGGGAAGGAATAGTGATGGGGTTCCGGGTTTGGAACTCTGGGTGACAGTCAGACATTGTCTGCATTTTAGGGGATGGTAAAGGTGAGGCCCCTGCCTGGAGCAGCTCTTGCCCAGGTCTGGTAGCAGAGAGGCAGAGTGCCGTGAAGCAAGGAACACGGATCTGCAGTCAGGTTCAGACCGCAGCGTCTCCCAGGACTCAGGGGAATGGGACAGACTCTGAGTTTCAGTCTTTTCCTTCTGTAAGGTGGGGATCGGAGGGGAGAGCAGACAGGCTGTGAGGATGAAATAAAATGGCGCAGAAGAAGGTGTCTCGCATGCATCTGGGGCCTGATGGAGGGTCACTAGTATTGCCCAGCCTCTGAGAGGGGCAGTCAGGAGGCTCCTGAGAGTGGGGAAAACAAGCAGAAGAGCCCGGAAGGAACTTTCAACCCAGAAAAGAAGCTGTGGCCTTCGGGGGTCTTCATATAGTCTGTGAATATGAAGAATGAGTGAATGATGAAGCAAGACCCGGGGCACTGTGGCAGTGCCCCCCTCAGAGTGGCACCCGTGACTCTGTGCATGTGTGTTGGTTTAGTGTCTGTTGTTCCTACGAAAGTATGAGCGTCTTGAGATTGTGAGCTGTGCCTGTCGTGTTCCCATCATCTGGCCAGCACCTGGCACACAGTAGGTGCCCAAAATTCACATTGATAGTTCCTGGAAAAGGCATGCTGAGGAGGCCAAAATAATAGTCAAGGAAAGGAGGCTGGGCGTGGTGGCTCATGCCTGTAATCCCAGCACTTTGGGAGGCTGAAGTGGGCGGATTACCCGAAGTCAGGAGTTTGAGACCAGCCTGGCTAACATGGGGAAACCCCATCTCTACTAAAAATACAAAAATTAGCCAGGCATGATGGTGGGCACCTGTAATCTGAGCTACTCAGAAGACTGAGGCAGGAGAATTGCTTGAACCCAGGAGGCGGAGGTTGCAGTGAGCTGAGATTGCACTCCACGCTGGGTGACACAGTGAGACTCCTTCTCGAAAAAAAAAAAAAAAGTCATGGAAATAAGAAAGCTGGAGGACTAAAATTACTAGACCCCCCTGAAGTGGGACTCAGACTCTAAATTAATAGCGGGTTGCCCTCACCAACCCTGATAGAGGCCAGCATCTGCTTTGCTTCTCTCTCAGCCCTGGGGGTCTCCACTCAGGGCCTGGAGGTGGGATCCAGACACTGCAGCATGCTTTGTACCCTTCTGCATCAAGGAAGGGGGCCGGAGAGGAAGCCAAGGCTTGGGGAGCAAACCGCTGCCTACTCTGGTGTCCTTCAGGGTTGTCCAGCCCTGAGATGGGTGCAGGGGGAGGCAGTTACTTTCCTTGGGGCAAATGCCTCTTATCCATCAAGGCACAGATCTGAAGCAGGTGGCGCAGAACACTTGCTCACTACATCGCCGCTGCTGTAATTACTGTTTATGTCACTTGTATCTCCTGGGATCTCTGGGGCCCTCTGCAGCCTGGGGAAGGTTTGGGCTGAAGGCCCCTGGGGTTGGGGAGCTGTCTTGCTCTGCAGGGTTTTCCACAGTGCCCTAGGGTGTTCCTGTGAAAAGCAAAACCTACAACGGCCATCAGGAGAGCAGGAGGGGATTAAAAGTTAGGATGCGGTCAGCTGCATTCTGCCTGCCTCTCAGAAGGGTGCCGGAGGGGTTAATTAATACAAATTAACAAACGCCCTGGCCTGCTCATCAGATGCCCCTGCAGGTGATAGCCTGCCAGGCTGACGTCTTTCCTGGGAACTCCACTAGTGGTTGGAGAGTGTGTGGCAGTGCCCAGGGAGATGGTCACAGAGATGCAGTAGGGCCTGGAGGAGATTCCCAACCAAGGGGCTGGGGCTTATAGGAGGGTATCTCTGAGGACTCAGGAACATTCTACGGGGAACCGAAGAGACCCAGGAGTCTCTCTCTTCACACACTGCATTTTGGGAGACGGTGAACTTCTGGAGAGTAGGAGCCTTAAACCTAAGGCCGACAAAGCTACAAACCTGTCTTTTAGCTTTGTGTTTGTAGCTCCCAGCTTCTGGTCTAGGGGAGAGCGAGTTCCCTGTCTCTGGCCATAGTCAAGGGCAGCCCCTCAGGAGGGGTTAGTTTGTTTTTAAAAAATATTTATTTATGAGGCAGAGTCTCACTCTGTCACCCAGGCTGGAGTACAGTGTCATGATCTCAGCTCACTGCAACCTCTGCCTCTTGGGTTCAAGTGATTCTCCTGCCTCAGCCTCCCAAGTGGCTGAGACTATAGGCCCCTGCCACCATACCCAGCTAATTTTTGTATTTTTAGTAGAGACGGGATTTCACCATGTTGGCCAGGCTGGTCTCAAACTCCTGACCTCAAGAAATCCATCTGCCTCGGCCTCCCAAAGTGCTGGGATTACAGGCATGAGCCACTGTACCCAGCCAGGAGGGGTTAATTTGTATTAATCATTAATGAGACCATGGTCAGTGGAAGCCTCTCCCCATCGTAAGGTTGCACAGACACATTTCGTGGCATTGGTGTTTGGCCATGGATTGCCAGATGCCAGTGGGCTCTGTGGGTGTGATAAGGGAGAGACCCTCCCTGCTACCCATGAGTCATCTTTCCATGGTTGGAGCTGTCCTATGGCCTCTCTATCCTTTGTTCCTTTTCAAGATCTTTTCCCTCTTTCCTTTCACCTGCTCCAGGCGTAAGCATGGGCCTCCTCTCTACTTCCACAGAGGAGGCTCAGAGAGTGAGGCAGGCTGTCGAGGACAGGGAAAGATCAACATGACCCAGGCCACCCTCAGACCCAATCCTGGCCGGACTATGTATGACCCACAGCTGGGTTTCCCTGAACACACACCTTAATTAATCTCCCAGAGCTCGGCTGCCTTTCTTTTTCTTTTTTTGAAATAGAGTCTCACTCTGTCGCCAGGCTGCAGTGCAGTGGTGCGATCTTGGCTCACTGCAACCTCTGCCTCCCAGGTTCAAGTGATTCTCCTGCCTCAGCCTCCCGAGTATCTGGGACTACAGGCGAGCATCACCATACCCAGCTAATTGTCGTATTTTTAATGGCCAGGTTGGTCTCGATCTCTTGATATTGTGATCCGCCCACCTCAGCGTCCCAAAGTGCTGGAATTACAGGCGTGAGCTTGGCTGCCTTTCTTGTCCATATTGAGAGGGACAGGTCTCCTCCCTCCATCCTGGGAGCTGGGACGTGGGAGGGGCACACCCTTGCTGGTCTCCTCCCCCACCAGCATGATCTAGGCAGAGGGGCTTGGTTTACGGGAAACATTCTGTTACCCCACACAGTGATCTTGCCATACTGGTGATTCACTTGGACTTTATGCGTGGGCTGGGGATACTCAGGGTTGGGGTTGGAATGCTCCCTCAAGCTTTCTCATGGAGGCATGCCTCTTGGGGAACAGGCGGCTGGGTAGAAGCTGGCCTGCTTGGGGTCTAGGAAGGGAAATGAGAGAGGGGGTTCTGGGAGCCACCTTCCAGACTTGTCTTCTGATATCAAGCCTGGACCAGATGCAAAACCCAGTGGGCAGCCAGTGTGGCTGGTACCTTTGCCACAAGATTCCTTCTTGACTTGGCCAAATGGCCTATTGCTTCTGGTCCTGATCTCAGTGAGGGGAGGGTTCCCAGGGAAGCTCCAAGCCAGTTCACCGTTTTTGGAGTGTCTGGGCCAAAGCTGGACTGCCAGGCCTGTTCAGTGGGGGCCACTGTGTATTGTTGTTTCTGCAGGAAGGTTGGCCAAACATTTTGGCTGAATGGTTTCCATCTTGTGTCACCCTCAAACCAGAAATTTGCAAAGCACTAGCGTGCCTAATCTGAAGGTTTTTTGTTTTTTTTTTTTCTTGAGATAGGGTCTTGCTCTACCACCCAGGCTGAAATGTAGTGGTGCCATCATAGCTCACTGCAGCCTTAAACTCCAGGGTTCAAGCAATCCTCTCTCTCCTCAGCCTCCTGAGTAGCTGGAACAACAGGCACACACCGTCACGTCCAGCTAAGCTTTTTTTTTTTTTAGCAGATGCGGCCTCACTATGTTGCCCAGGCTGGTCTCAAACTCCTGCCTTCAAGCGATGATCCTCCCACCTCAGCCTCCCAAAGTGCTGGGATTGACAGGCGTGAGCCACCACACCTGGTTCGCTAAAGATGATTGATTACAAAATAAAGTTTCTTTGAGGCTTCAGAAGGTTCTGGAGGTGATACTAGAAACTTGCTCCCGGCTGTGCTGAGTGGAGACCAGCTGATCTCGGGCCAGCGTTTTATCTCACCAAAACCTTAGCATAGAGCCCTTCCCAGCCACCCTCCCTGCGGGGTGGGCCCGCCCGCCACGCCCACCGCACCTCGCCGGGGCTGACTTCGCGCTTTGTGTCCGCAGGCTGCTGAACAGGATGTCCTCGGATGACAGGCACCTGGGCTCCAGCTGCGGCTCCTTCATCAAGACCGAGCCGTCCAGCCCGTCCTCCGGCATCGACGCCCTCAGCCACCACAGCCCCAGTGGCTCGTCCGACGCCAGCGGCGGCTTTGGCCTGGCCCTGGGCACCCACGCCAACGGTCTGGACTCGCCACCCATGTTTGCAGGCGCCGGGCTGGGAGGCACCCCGTGCCTCAAGAGCTACGAGGACTGTGCCAGCGGCATCATGGAGGACTCGGCCATCAAGTGCGAGTACATGCTCAACGCCATCCCCAAGCGCCTGTGCCTCGTGTGCGGGGACATTGCCTCTGGCTACCACTACGGCGTGGCCTCCTGCGAGGCTTGCAAGGCCTTCTTCAAGAGGACCATCCAAGGTGCGTGGTGGGCCTGGCCGGGCCTGGGCGCGCGGGGTGGGGGATCGGGGCGCCGTTGCAGCAGTACCGAGGGGCGCCTTTTCCCTTGCTCGGGGCGTCTCGTTCTGGGGCTGGACAGCTGCAAGAAGGCTGTTGAAAGGACATGCGTTCCCCACCCTCTCAGTCCCCCATGCAGAGCCCCGGGAAACCCGATGAAAATCCGCAGGATGCCAAACCCGGGGTGCTTCTCACTGGTATGGGGTACACTGTCAAATGTGTGCCCCTCAACAAGTTCATTTTGTGGGGGGAATAACACAATTTGCCCGCAAATTCCAGATCTATCAGAAATATAAAGGGTCCCTCACTGTGTTTTTGTCTTTTTTACTTGTACAAGTAAAACGCCAGACTTGGTGACTCACCCCCCTAATCCCAGCACTTTGGGAAGCCAAGGTCAGAAGATGGCTTCTGGGAGTTGAGACCAGCTTAGGCAATACAGTAAGACCCCATCACGAATTTTTTTTTTTAATTAATACATGGTGGCACACACCTCTAGTCCCAGCTACTTGGGAGGCTGAGAGGGAGGATCATTTGAACCCAGGAGTCTGAGGCTGCAGTGACCTGTGATGGCACCACTGCCTTCCAGCCTGGAAGACAGAGCAAGACCCTGTCTCGGAAACAAAAAACAAATAATACATGAGTATTTTCTCATTGTAGAAGACTCAGGCCTGTTGGAATAGGAACAGGAACTCACCCTGTCTGGATCCCAGTTTGACCTATCTTTTAAGCCTTTCTCTTGCTTTCTTTTTTCTTTCTTTCTTTCTGTCTCTTTCTGTCTTTCTTTCTGTCTTTCTTTCTGTCTTCCCTTTCTTTCTTTCTTTCCTTTCTTCCTTCCTTCCTTCCCTCCCTCCCTCCCTCTCTCCCTCCTTCCTTTCTTTTTTTGTTCTCTTTCTTCCCTTTCTCTCTTTCTCTCCTTCCTTCTTCCCTCCCTCTCTCCCTTCCGTACTTCTTTCATTCCTCGATACGAGTCTTGGGCAAGGCACAGTGGCTCACGCCTGTAATCCTAGCACTTTGGGAGGCCAAGATGGCCCTTGAGGTCAAAAGTTCTAGACCTGCCTGGCTGACATGGTAAAACCCTGAAAATACAAAAAAAAAAAAAAAAAAAAAAAAAGAAAGAAAAAAGAAAAAATCAGCTGGGCGTGGTGACACTCACCTGTAATCCCAGCTACTAGGGAGGCTGAGTCAGGAGAATTGCTTGAACCCAGGAGGTGGAGGTTGCAGTGAGCCAAGATCGGGCCACTGCACTCCAGCCTGGGTGACAGAGTGAGACTCCATCTCAAAAAGAGAGAGAGATGAGGGTCTTGCTATGTTGCCCAGGCTGAGTGCAAGTGGCTATTCACAGGCACGATTATTGCACACTGCAGCCTTGAACTCTGGGCTCAAGCATCCTACCACCTCAGCCTCTCAAGCAGCTAGAACTGCCACCACGCCCATAAGCTTTTTTTCCCCATACATTTGCATATCAGCTGAGTCACATTCCAATGGTCATGGGGGTGGCAGCCTCTTTCTGTGGGTACTAGAGTGAATCACTCTGACAGAGGAGTGCAAGAACCCTGGTGGGTTGCTCTGTAAAGTCACCCCGAGGTAAACTGGGGAGAATGATGAGCCTGCCCCCACAGGGTTGTTATCAAATTCATGGCAGAGAGAGACGGCTGGGACCACTGGTGGGCACCACCACATTCAGTTCATTTTCGAATTTTTAGTAGAGATGGGGTCTCACCATGTTGCCCAGGCTGGCCTCAAACACCTGGGCTCAAATGATCCAACCACTTTGGCCTCCCAAATCCTGAGATTACAGGTGTGAGCCACTGTGGCTGGCCAATAGCTATGATTCTTAATTGCAGCAGGTGCTAGGCAGAGCACTTTCATTCAAGTTAGTCAAGATCAAGTTAGATCTGTTGAGCATCTACTAAGCACCAGGCCAGGCTGTAGGTGCTGGTGATAGGATAGGCAGAAACCTGCTCATGCAGGTCATTGTGATGAGCTGGTGCCATCAGACTGGAGAAAATCCAGGAACCACCCAGCCTGCCCCTGCGTCTGATGCCTCTCCAGGGCCCTGCCTGGCTGTCCCCGGAATGTACCCACCCCACTCCTTTCCCTTTTGGAAGAGGCAGGTGGAGCTTCCCTGGGATGATTCTGTTAATTCAACCAATATTTATGTGTTGACATTTCTTCAGATGGCAATCTGTGAAGCCAATTGAGGACATTAGTCCACACGTTAGTTGAGGTATAGTGCATTGGCTAACCCCCAGGGCTCCTGGTCACACTGTTCCATTGTTCCCTTATAGCTGCACCTTGAGCGTGCTGCCTCAGTTTCTCTCTGTGCTTCAGTTACTTCATCTAAAAAGTGAGATATCAGCTGGGCATGCTGGCTCACACCTGTAATCCCAGCACTTTGGGAGGCTGAGGCAGGTGGATCACTTGAGGCCAGGAATTCGAGACCAGCCTGGCCAACATGGTGAAACCCCATTTCTACTAAAAATATAAGAATTAGCCAGGCATGGTGTCAGGTACCTGTAAACTCAGCTGCGTGGGAGGCAGCAGGAGAATCGCTTGAACCCAGGAGGCAAAGGTTGCAGGGAGCCGAGATTGCGCCACTGCACTCCAGCTTGGGCAATAGAGCAAGATCTTGTCTCAAAAAAAAAAAAAAAGAAAAAGAAAAACAAATTTAAAAAAAAGAAAAAGCAAAAGCTTTTCATATAAAGCACTTAGAATATTGCCTAGCACCTAGTAAGGGCCAAACAAATGTTTATGGTTATTATTTTCACTTTAACATCAGTTTTTGTTGTTGTTGTTGTTTTTTAAGGTGGGGTTTTATCATGATGGCCAGGCTGGTCTTGAACTCCTGACCTCAGGTGATCCACCCACCTCGGCCTCCCAAAGTGCTAGGATTACCGGCAACATCATCATTTAAGACATATTATTATGAAAACAACGTTTATCTTATAAAACAAGCTTTTGTAATCTATCTATATTTAAATAAAAACAATCATTGTTTTGATCTAACAGGATTAAGATTATTTTAGCTATGTTAGTTATAAATTTCCTTTTTCTATTTTTTTTTTTTTTTTTTTTTCTGGGATGGAGACTCGCTCTGTCACCCAGGCTGGAGTGCAGTGGCACAGTCTCACTGCAACCTCTGCCTCCTGGGTTTAAGCGATTCTCTTGCCTCAGCCTCCTGAGTAGCTGGAATTATAGGCATCTACCACAATGCCCAGCTAATTTTTTGTATTTTCCGTAGACACTTGGTTTCAACATGTTGGCTAGACTGGTCTCAAACTCTTGACCTCAGGTGATCCACCTCGGCCTCCCAAACTGCTAGGATTACAGGCATGAGCCACTGCACCCAGACATAAATTGACTTATTTCTTAAATGAATTTTTTTTTTTAAAAAAAGGTAAATTCTAGCAGTGCAGAAGAGTAGAGCAAGCTTTCCTGAAACCCCAGACATCAGCTTTTTGTTTTGTTTTGTTTTGTTTTTAACTATCCTAGAAGGAGCCCTTTGCCATCTTTGTCAAGCAAATATTTATTAAGCATCTTCTGTATCAGGCACTGTGCTGGCCTCCAGGACATGAAAATGAAAGTACCCTGGTCTCTGCCCACTTTCTACTCCCTGAGTCTGAGTCGAGGGGAAGGCCTTGGCATCTCTGTATTTGAAAAGCATTGCATGGTGATGCTGTCTCTTGCTTCAGCCAAGAGTGAGAATCTCCAGTCTGATGATTTTTTACAGAAATCATTGGATATTTGACAAACATAAAATGTTGAAGTCAATTGACATTACCAAAATAACATTTTTTTTTTTCTAAATTGTAAGGTGGTCTTGGTGAGGTTGTCATTTTTTTATTTTTTGAGACAAGGTCTCACTCTGTCACCCAGGCTGGAGTGCAGTGGTGTGATCTCAGCTACCTGCAACCTCTGTCTCCCAGGTTCAAGCGATTCTCCTGCCTTAGCCTCCTGAGTAGCTGGGATTACAGGCACATGCCACCATGCCTGGCTAATTTTTGTATTTTTTTTTAGTAGAGATGGGGTTTCACCATGTTAGTTAGGCTGGTCTCAAACTCCTGACCTCGTGATCCACCCATCTTGGCCTTTCAAGGTGCTGGGATTACAGGTATGAACTACCATGCCTGGCCTGAGGTGGCCATTATTTTAGACTCTCTGAGGTCAGTGTTTGAAAAATTGCTTCTTAGAAGACAGTCACATTTTCTTCTCACCACATTGTTCTTAGATGGGCTGGAGAGTTCTGGATCACATTTTTTGAAAGCAGAGCCCAATGTGTGTAAACTCAGAAATCCTACCGCATGCTTGACAGAGGCCCTGGTGGCTGCTAATGTTCTCAGCAGGTCAGAGTCCACATGAAAGATTTGTAAATAGTCTTAATTACTTCCTACTGTGAATAGGATAATGATCTCTTCACAGAAGTCAAAAGACAAACAGCATCATTTGTGTAGTTGGGACTGAACTGCTGTGGCTTCTTCTCTTGCTCACAAGGAGAGTTTCAAGTTAATAACCAGAAAGAGGTTTATATTCAGAACAGAGAAAAGTAAACTCTTAAGGCTGACAGATTGCTTTGTTATTTTATTAACTCCTTGGTTTTGTTCCAAGATTTAGGTTATGTTGGGGTTTTTTGAAATGGAGTCTCACTCTGTTGCTCAGGCTAGAGTGCAGTGGCGCCACCTCAGCTCTCTGCAACCTCCAACTCCCAGCTCAGCCTCCCAAGAAGCTGGGATTACAAGCATGTACCACCACACCCGGCTAATTTTTCTACTTTTAGTAGAGACGGGGTTTCATCATGTTGGCCAGGCTGGTCTCGAACTCCTGATCTCAAGTGATCCTCCCGCCTCGGCTTCCCAAAGTGCTAGGATTATAGTCATGAGCCACTATGCCTGGACAGATTTTGTTGTTTCTAAATGTAGCAATTGCAGAAAATCTCAAAAAATAGGAAAAATACGGAGAGGAGAAAA